TTGCCGTAGTATTCTGTTGAATTTCTTTACAGTTGGTAGAAAGTTTCTCCGTTGCTTCTTCATTTTGGGAAATACCAGTGTCATTTGTCAATTCTGAATCATCAGTTTCATATTTAATACCAGATGTTTCACTAACATCTATTCTCAGCATTAATAATTAGCAAACTAGCATCTATTGAAATATTGTCAAGGTTACTGTACGATTTCCGAAAGTTATTTTCCTGAAAGAACTTAATGCTGACTAATTATTTTTTTTTTCGGGAAAATAGCTTTTGAAAACTTGAGTACATTATTGTATTAGTATTTTAAAAAAAAATCTATTATTGTAACAGTTAGGGATGGGTTCGTTCAGCTAGTAGTCGGCTAGCCGATCAGCTATAGCCATAGTTGATGTAGTCGACTATAGCGGCTTAGCTGACCAGCTAACCGATCTCAAAATTTTTATTTCCTGGCTGATAAATCATAATTATTGCTCAATTCAGCATGAAGTGTACAAATTATATAGAATTATTGCAAAAAATACCCTAGTTGTCACGTCACAACCGATTCTCGATTTTGATTGGCTAAGAGCGATGATTAACTGAAATTACTCGAAATTTTACTAATAAAATCACAGCTGCCTATCAAGTGAAAATGTTCCTGGACTAATTTTACTATAGTATAGGCAGTGTTGGCATTGGACATATGTCCACCCATTTTAACAGCATTGGACTAGACATGGATATTGGACATATACTTGGACATGGTCAAGGTCCAGTATGTCCAATCATCTTATGTGGGTAAAAATTTTTAAATATTGGGAGTTTTAGAATTAATGGTTCATACAAGTAATACTATCAAGGTAGGGCTCCGAGGTTCAGGTTTGGTCCAGTTAGGGTTTGGCCCAATCGAGGGATTGAAGCTCCAAGTAAGTTATTAAAAACCCTCATACAAATTAGAAAGATATATATAAGGGTGTAGTTTTAGTCTGTGAAGTGAAAAATGGTTGTTAGAATGATGATTGATAGTATTTAGTATTATTGTAATAATCCGATGTTTTGATTTATATTAATAAAGAGAAACCTTATACCCTGTAATTATGTGTGTTAGTTTATCAATATAAACAATTTGATTTTAATTACTATTTATTCATGAATGAAGCTAAATTGGTTCAAGATTCTACAAAGCATTCCCACCCGGATCATATGTATACTAGTAGCTCAATTGGACCTGGACTAGTTTGTGAATGGACTGAACCTAAACAGAACCCAAACATGTTTAAAAGTTTGGCATCGAACCGAACTCAAACCGCCTTTTACATTGGTCCGGTTTGGGTCCAGTCCAAAATTCGAACTCAAACCTGAACTTACCCAAAGTCTGGTTTAGTCCAGGTCTATTGGAGCCCTACGTTAATCATAATACATAATATTATATATTATTATTATTGGACTATGTCCAATATCTAATACTCTCTGGTTCAATAGATTGGACTGGATTGGACAAGGGTGGTCCAATGTTCAGGTCCAATGTCCAGGCCCAACACTGAGTATAGACTTATTTCCCTATTTTTGTAATAAAAAGTTAAAACCTAATTCGGCCAAAATTACGTAACAATTGTATAATGCGAGCCAAAATTTTGTAGTTAGCTAATTAAAATTGATTATAAGATAGTAACAATCGAGCAATTTTTTTGATACTTATAAATATCACGGTTTCAAAATGTATCCAATTCTAATAATTTTACTTTATTTCTTTAAACTTAAGAATTAAAATCTTAGTTTAAGTCAAAAAAAAAATTTTTTTTTTGTAAAATTCATATTTCTCAACAACCATTTATCAAATTTCGATAAAAGTTTTTTTTTGTTTTAATTTTACAAAAGTTTAGAAAATGTACTGTGTTTAATTAAGTAGTTACAGAAAAATATTTGCTAGAATCCTGAAAAATTTTCAAAATTTTATATGGGCTGATTTCGGCCAATTTACATTTTCAAAACAATCTAATTCTGGTCAAATTTGCAGATCGTTTGGCCTATTGTGGATGAGTTTTAAACTCATCCAATAGGCCAAATGATCTACAAATTTGACCAGAATTAGATTGTTTTGAAAATGTAGATCGGATCTGCAATATTTTGATTATTTTGATTGGCTGTTTACAGCATGTGACCCGAACTTTTTTCGCCATGGCCAGGGTACTCTAATATGTATAACTGTATAATATATAAAAATATAATTATTAGGCACTTGTTTATAAGTTTGAATGAAAAATTGATTAAGAAATTGATCAAGTAATTTATTGGCTATAGTCGGCTATAGCTGGCTACTAGTCAATAGTCGATGATAGCTGACCAATAGCAGACCTAGCTGACCAAACCCATCCCTACTTTAAAGCAGTGCACAAAATTGTGACATGACATATCCTAATTCTTTTCTGACAATCTTTTTATTAACTGGAATTTTGAAACTCGTGCTAGAGACTACAATTAATGTTAATAAAATTATGAACACCTTAAAATTTAATCATTTTAAAAAATATATTTGAAGACAATTTTTTTATTGTCAGACTTCAATTTTCTTTTTATTTTTCTTTTATTGTCGCAAGCTTTAATTTTTTTTTATTTATTATAACTTTCTGCCATGTAATACATATTTTCTTCAATGCATATAGAAAGAATATAGCTTTGTTACTTGTAATTAATAATATAATATTATTATCAATTTACTGTATATTGTATCTATTTTTTACATTGTACTATTCATGATATATTTTACTCCAATTCATTTTTTTACTTTCTTTTCCTTCTAATGAAATCCACATAAATGCATCTAAGGTAAATGGATTCAAAGAATTGCATAAATGAGTTTTAATTACATTTTGCTCAGAAAATCCATGTTCACAATCTATACTTGAAAAAGGAATGCTATTAGTAATATGAACTAGTTTAGTAATATTAGGAAAAAGATTAGAGTAATCATGAATTAGAATAGGCAGTAATTCTCATGAAGAAAATGATAAAAAATTTGAAAAACAATGCTTTTAAAACCTGATTACTCTATGAAGTTTAATATGCTTCGCACCCATGCAGTAAGGTTATATATCGCACCTTAATATGATTGGCTAATTTTGCAGATCATTATTTTTAAAAAAATAAACAAATTTTGATTAATTTTCTTTAGATTAAAACTAACTTATAAAAAATGAAGAAAATAGTTAAAATTTTTTTGTATTTATATGCAAAATTTGATGCTGGACAAGTTTAATTAGAAACAAAAGAGACATTGACATAATAAAATCTAGAGAAAATGTAAAAAATATGCAAGTCAATATGAAAAATGCAAATATCTTTAAATTTTATTATGCTAATATTTTTAAAGTTTCTAAGTAAACTTGTTCAGCATCACATTATGCATATAAATACAAAAATAGTAACGTTTTTCTTGATTTTTCTATAAGATTTTTTTAATTTAAAAAAAATAATAAAAAATTGTTTTTTTACAAAATAACGATCTGCAAAATTAACCAATCATATTTAAGTGCGATATATAAGCATATCGCAGGGTGTGAGATATGCATTTATTCTTACTCTATAATACAAGAATCTGAGTCTATTAATGGTAAAAAATTTTGTCTATTAATAATTTTTAATGATCTATAATGATTTAATAAAACTTGCAATTCATTGTGGCCAAATTCTAATAATTTTTCTTTTTTGCAAGACCATTCTACAGGATTTAAAATTTTTCATTGCCACAATAAAAGAGCAATCTGGAAAATGATTTTTAATTTCAGTAGTCACTATACTTGCATATTCATAAGCATTCTGCAATAAATTATCATAATTATAATTATTATATGCAAGTATATGTATATAATAAGTTATATTATTATTATTATTAAACAGATTTGTGTGATTAATAAAAAGTTGTAAATAATAGCTCAAACATGCTTCTGTAATATAATTATTTTGAATACAGTTATATCTCTTTATAATAACCCTCTATATAATCACATCATATAAAAACCTCTTTATAATTACACCTATATCTTCGCCCAATTACTATCTAATATATAACAAAAGACCTCTATATAAGCACACCTCTTTATAAGAACATTTTTTTAAAAAAGTTCTTATAGTCTCAAAGTGTGATTATAAAGAGATATGACTGTATTTGTAATCATGGTATCAATCATAGAAATAATATCATGAAAATAAAGATTGCATTTTTAAAAAAATTTGTTCAATGATGATAATTGCCTTAAAACATTATAAATAAAATAAAAAAATCCTAACAACCTCCAGTTATATAATTGTTGATATAAGTCACTAGCAACTTTACTATTATTGTTTTGAAGTTGCAAAAGAACAGCTAGTAATTTTTTAACAAAATTTTCTATAGCTTCATACCAGCCAAGGCATTGTATTTCTTTTAATTTTTTTAATTATAGCTTAGGAAAATCAAGAATTTGTTGATATTCTTGAAGTATATTAATTCGTTTTGCAAAATTTTTATAAAATTTGTATATGTCTTTAATAGTGGCTTTAGCAATAATAAAGTAATCAAGCTGTTTTTGTGAATCTTTGCAAGCCAATGCTAAATGATGTGCAATACAATGGTTATAAACAATATAAGGGCATATCTTTGATAATTTTTGCACAACTCTATTTTTGGCTCCAATTATTACGGATGCCCCATCCAAGGCAAAAGCTACTAACTTATCTTTTTTTTTTTTTTTATAATATTTGGGGTGTAGCTCCTGCTCCAGACTTTTATTAATACTTAAGTAAATTGACATATGATAGTGCCGTAAATACATACATATTATATATCAGAACTAG